AAGGGGTGGCGTAGTATTTTAATATGCTAGTGTGTAGTAAGTTAGCCCACGTCTCGTGTGACTCGCAACACGGCAGAATGCATAAAACATATTAGCAAGGAAGTTGAGTTTGGGAACTTGGACTTGGCAAATTTGATCACGGATAGACCTTTATCCTGAGTAGGATGGACGCGTGATGCTGCATTAATATAGACCTATAAATTATGGGTGTTGGAAGCGCAAGGCTTCTATCGGGTGATAATTATCACAGGCACAAACGACTACGCGCTGGTGATCATGATGTTCTTCTTTCTTGTTGTTGTTTTCTATCTAGCTATGGATAATGTCACGTTATGAGACTCATGTTAACTAAGCTTGTTCATAAAATCATTATTCTTGTTGTTTCTAGTGCTGCAGACTCCGTCTGCAGCTCTCTTTTTAATACCAAAAAAACTTCCTTTCGTCCGAATTTAACTTTCGGCTAAGTTTAGTCATGATAGCCGACGCTATGACATCCAGAAATTACTCCAAGCTCTGCGACTTCAGTCTACAGAGGCATTATCCGACAGATAACGCACGCCTAAAGAGGTGTTGAGGCCTCCTCACGTGAGGTCTGTTTCAGCCACTGTTTGGAGTTATCCCCTGGCCGCTGGCTCCGCCGCCCAAGACAGCGGTGGAAGCAACAGAATGATTGGCGTGATGTTTCCCATGGGATGTGTTCTAGGACAAACTGGTCATGTCGGTCAAGAACCTTGCATATGATTTTTCCGTTATATGCTCGGAGACAATTATGGCCTGAGAAAACTTATGGATTAACGTAGAGTCAGCCTTCGGCTGAATAACCTCTAGTTAGATGACCAGTTTCTGAACTAGCACAGCTATCTACTTGAATCTGAAATTCAGTCATCCGTGTCGGCCACGTCGCTCTCGCTCGTCCATATTAATCCATTTAAGCAATCTGCTGCACAAAGGACGGACCAGCCTGTTCTCCTGGGGGGAACTGGCTAGTATCAATGCTTGCAACAGGCTGCTCAACCAAGGTACCATCATCATTCCTCTTCAACGCCACAACACCCAGCTTCCCTTCCTGATTTCCAACAAACAGAAGGGTGCCATCTGTGGAAAGACTGAACATACGAGGAAGCCTTCCTCCCGTGGATGTCAACCCCATGAACTCCAACCTGGGGTCGCAACCTCCGGCGACGACGAGACGGAAATGAGCAATGTTATCCGTCTCCTCACCAGTCAAGCGATTCGACACATAGACATTCTTGTTATC